GTGCTCCAGCATGACCACTGGCCACTGCTCCGTTTGCAGCCTGCTCCAGTGTATTCGCAACTGGGGTGAGCCCCCACGCCCCAGTTCTGGGCAAGCTATCCATTAATCAGAAATGGGAATCAATTATTGGACTGTATCTTCGGAGCTCTTATGCACCCACAGATCCACGCAGCCTCCTTGTGAGGCAGGGAGACTCAGACAATGAAGGGGAAGTGAATTGACCAAGGTCACACAGAGAGTCGGTGGCAGAGCCAGCTGGCGCTTGCAGAGAAACGCCAGGGAGGGCCAAAGGGGAAAAAGGAGGGCACACAGCTCTCAAACAGGCAAAGTCTGGGCCACACGGAGCTCTTATGCACCCACAGATCCACGCAGCCTCCTTGTGAGGCAGGGAGACTCAGACAATGAAGGGGAAGTGAATTGACCAAGGTCACACAGAGAGTCGGTGGCAGAGCCAGCTGGCGCTTGCAGAGAAACGCCAGGGAGGGCCAAAGGGGAAAAAGGAGGGCACACAGCTCTCAAACAGGCAAAGTCTGGGCCAAAGGAACAAGCCCTTCTGAGCTGGGGAGCTAGTGCTGCCTGAGAAAATCCAGGTGTCCCTCACGGCTGCGGGAAAGAGCTGCTCTGTAAATCCTCACACTGTGACAGCACAGCAGAGCCACCACGGCAGTACATGGTGCATGCCCAGCAGCACAGCCGACGAGCACGAGCGGAGCTGAGCAGGGGCCAGTGAAAATCTGTGCTGATGGAAAAGGAGAGAGCTCTCCTCTTGGCCCCAAATTGTGGAAAGGCGGAGGGAAAGTGGGCGGGGCCCCTAGGACCTGGCAGGCACGGCATTTGGGCCAGTGGACGGATTCTTTCATCTACAGCAGTGAAGCTTCCTGCATTAGTTAAGCACCAGTTTGCAGGAAGCTGGCGTGCTGAGCAGTGTGCAGAGGCTTTTTGTTATCCAGGAGAAAAGCTGGGAGGAGGCAGGGGGAATGCATACGGGCGAAAGAAGTCTGCCTCTGGTCGCGCTCTTTCCACCAAGATTGGCTGCCTCCCCAAGTTTGCTCTGATGCCAGCATGCCTGGCCTGCTTTTTTGTCTCGACTGGCTGGGGTGCCCCATTTTCCTGCCCGAAGGGAAGGCAACATACATCGCAGGGAAGATGTTCACATTTGGCCCTGCGGTTTCCGGGGCTGGTGCAGTGTGAGTTTCACACAACCAGCTCTGCAAAATATTGCAGGGAACAGTTGGGGAACGGCAGGGGAAAACACAAGGTGAAGAGCGAATACAGCCCCTGTCATCTTGTGGGTGGAGTGGTTTGAGATTCATAGCTTCTAAGGCCAGACGGGACCATGGTTACCTTCCAGTCTGAACACGGGCCACAGAACCTGTCTACTATAATTCCTGGAGCAGATCTCTTAGAAAATCTAAGCTTTCTGTGTAAAAACAAGCACAACCCTCTAACGCACACAGTGGCACAGAGAAACCTCCAAAGTGTGACTTGGCTACGAACCAATGCA